TAATTTAGTTTAATTTAATTTTATTTTATTTTTCAAGACATGTCCAACTCACTCTTACTCCTAGTGCATGTCATCGTAAGTGATTTGAGGATTAAAGCGATGTGATGAAATCTTGTACTCTAATATTAATAATTTGCACATTTTTTCTCCCCCTTTCTTTCAGTTCTCATTTACACAGTTACATTGCCATGAACTCAAATCAAGGTTCAAGAGGCTTATGTTATCAGCTTATATCTACACAATCCACCTGATGATTGTCTCATTGTCACACATCATTGATTTTACTGTAAATTACACAGGAACCCTCTTTTCACTTGACTTCAATCTTCCAAATATGCGTTCCTTTAGCATGCATTAAAGTAGCTTCCGATTTAAAAATGTTTTGCGCAACACAGAATTGGTGGAGGTTTACAGTAAGCAGTGACATTAGTCAATCAGTTCCTACGCTCCTTCATTTTTCTCTCGAACTCTGTGGTTTTAAATGCGGAAATCAGTGTGTTTACAAGCTACTGCACATACTTCTCATTGTAACCTGAGCTGGAATTATGATTTTAATGCTATATGATGCAAGGTATGATGTTGTGGAATCTTGGCTCACATAAAAAATTTTTTTTATTATATATATATATATATATATATATATATATATATATATATATATATATATATATATATATATATATATATATATATATATATATATATATATATATATATAGAATGAGCGTTTGTATCAGGCTCCTGTGTGTATGTTTAGTAATATAACTTTTATGGCAACTAATAAATCCTTTTCCTGGTCTTTAAAGTGAAATATCTCAACATAAACAAAGGAGGCTGCAAAAAATTGTCATTGTCTGGAAATTTGGTTTTTGCTTCTGTCTTCATATACATATACACACACACACACACACACACACACACACACACACACACACAATAGGGGTAAAGTTGGTTTTATAATCACCCATTCGATCATCATTTAGCAGTCTCTGTATTGTTTACCATGTTACCTTGAATATTCAAATTGGAATTAGCATGCAAGTATGACTTGTAAACAACATTGACACCATCTAATTCACTGTGAACAATGTTGCAGTTTGATAGTCATTGGCTGCTAATATGATTTCCCTATTTACAATTTGCAAAGAACACTTTTCTGAAATTATATTATTAAGGAGAGTGTCTGGATGTCTGAATATAAAACCAACTTTACCTCTGTCACACACACACACACACAAACTGAGGTCGAACACAACAGTGATACAGAATGGAGAGATTTGGCGACGTCTGCTGATAAAAACGACGGTTACTGACGTCATAATGCAACTTTAAATATATCGTGTTTATTTCTTCCACCCTCAAAACCATGATATAAGTGAACTGCGAAAACGACACGCGCGTTATACGCGACAATAATGACTTACATAAATAATAATGCCTCGTGTGTGGAAGCGTGTCTTTAATGTGGCTGTAAATTTCCTGACACGTGATCATTCTAACTTGATCAGCAACTCTAGAGACTGATAGTTATTTTACTACATACCTCTCCAATATGCCAGCATGCCCCTTTTTTTCTTTGTTTGTTTCCTTTTTGGAATGTGATACAACACTCCTCCCTAACTACAGTTAAGTTGTTTGTGCTAAAGAACAATGAGATCACTATATGGTCAACCATAAGTCACAAATAACATGTATAGTTTAATGGAGGAGACTAGAAAACAAAACAGACTAGATAATCAAACAAAAACAATAACATGATATCAATAATAAAATCAAACTCTTTTTTTGATAATAAAGTTTATTCTTCTTATTCTTTACAGCTATTACTAAATAACTTATTTAGTATCAAAAGCTATTATTAGTTTAAAATAGCAGGGCGGATAGCCAAATACAACTGTAGAACTTTGTTTTTTGGAGGGGGATGGTTGGGACTTTTGTAAGTTGTTTTCTATTCTTTCCCTTTCAAGTTAAGGAAGAACATCAAAAGATGTTAATGCAGTTCCTGCATTACACAAAAAGACACTAACTTCATCATCTGCTTCTATTGCATGTTATACAATAGTCTATCGGTGTCTAATGGGAACATTCGTTTCAGTTTGTTAACTTTAGTTTAACATCAACCTGTGCTCGTGCTGATAATAGAAATTTGGCTAACGACACGCTAGCGATGAGTGATATAGAAAATAAGGAACTCACCCTCCATACCTACCATTATGTTCAGACTTCGTCAGGTATTCTTATTGTGTGCCAACAATCGCTATAATAAGTAATAACGTATATGGGGTGCTAGTTTAGTAGCTGGTTTTCTTTCTTTCTTTCTGGAAATCTGATTAGCTGAGTTAGCCAATTGTTAGCCGGACGAAATGCCTTGCTTTCAATGTTTGCAAATCACTCACTATGCAGCTGTTGCGTTCAGAGAGAGAGAGAGAGAGAGAGAGAGGCGCGCTCCCGTGGGCAGCGATTCGTTAACGCATAGAATAGCAGTTCTTTATGAGTCGGATCCAAATGAATCGTTTACAAAGATTCATGCCAGTATGAGTCGTGCGAGTCGGTTCGTTTTAGTAAATCAAATATAAATATAACACAAACACGTAGTAGATTCCCATAAATGAGTGACTTGTATGACTCCGTTCTTTAATGAGTCAAACCACTTATCAATCAATTGCAAAGTTTGAATAACAGAACAGGAAGGTGTTGTAAATGAACCAAACAAACAATGCAATGTTTACAACATCTTAACACATAAAAGAAACCAAAAGGGGTTTAACATTCTAAATGTTTGCGTTATTAAATTGTATTTAACCTTAAATATTGGCTTTGGATTAAATATTAATAATTTGAGATAAATAAGAATTGTAAACTGATCTGGGTCCGAACTAAAATTATTACAGTAATGTCAAACAACAATAGAGCTGTACTGAAACATACCAGAATGCCACGCTGGGACATAAGGGACCACGTGCTGACGTAATTACGTCGTTACGCCAAAAAAGAATCCATGAACAGTACAAAAGAACCGAATCGGGGGGAGAAGAACCGAGTCAGACGCGTGTGGGAGGCAAGCGCGTCCACGCAACAGACCGTTCTGTGGAACGTCGCGCACCTCTGATCACGTGACCCGCTGAACTATTCTTCATCAAGATTATTACAGTTGAACTGCGGTTTACGGTTATAGGTTATTATGAGCCAGGTTATAAGAGTTATGCAGAGATTCTGACGTATGTGAATGACTTATGCTAGCAAGAATGGGAAGGAAGTTAACAGTAAGCATTAGTATTCATTTTTGGCCGCATTGTAAACAAATGTCCTTTCTTCAACCGCGAGGTTCAGCTGGTAAGTTACCCGTATGTATCACGTCAATGTGAAGAGTTTCCCCAAAATGTACCTTTTATCTCGTATTAGCTTCAACTTGTATGTTCTCATTCGATATAATCTACTAATTAGTCCTTCAAGTAAAATAACTATTAATCCAATTAAGTTTACATTTGTAAGTAGGAGTTTTCATCTGTTAAAGGCTTTACAAAGGAAATGCCATTTTAAAACACTCTTCATTTTAGTCTAAAACCTAAAAGTTAAACAATAGCAATACATAATATGTTTCTTTAAAAAAATCACAAACATTTCCACTTAAATTATGCATGTATTCTGTGATGGAAATTACTTTTTCAAATCTCACAAATAAATTAGTTGTAGACTCTGACTTGCTATATTCATACTGTATTCTTGTATTTATCTACTATTTCGTCACTTTACACAATTCCACAACCAAGCAAAATTACAGCTTGACAGTAATTTCCACTGTAAAAACATATCATGTAACCAAATGAGAATAGAAATCTACATACTCCCAGTTCATATAGAGCCCCACACCCAAGATGGCATCATCCTGATCATTTGCATATAAGTCCAAATGTTCTTATCTAACTAAATTGTAGTCCACAGTCATTGTGAAGAATGTTTCCCAAAAATGTACTTTTTATTTTGCATTAGCTTCAATATGTGTTTTCCATCAATACAATGCTGACATTAGTCCTTTCACATCTTCAAATAAAATAAATCCTAATCCAGTCAAGTTAACGTGTGTAAATGAGAGTTTTCAACTGTTATGGTGAACATTAGAGGGGAAATTCTTCAGACTAAAGTTGTCTCAGGACCTACATTTTAATCAATGTCTATACATCACAATATCTTTATTTGAAAATAATCACAAACATATCTAACTAATTACATTATGCTTGTATTCTGTGGTGGAAATTACTTTTCAAATATCTGAAATAACTTAATTGTAGACATTTACTTGCTAATGTTTTGTATTTATCTTCTATTTTGTCATTTACATATGATTAAATATGCTCAAATAAATCCAAAATTACAGCTTGACATTAATTTCCACTGTAAAATATATCGTGTACCCAAATGAGAATAGAAATCTACATACTCCCAGTTCATATACATATAGAGCCCCAAACCCAAGATGCCATCATCCTGATAATTTACACATCAAGTCCAAATGTTCTCGTCTTGCCACATTTAAACTTATACAGTCTGAAGTCAATGTGAATGTTTCCCAAAATTGTACTTTTATTTCATATTAGCTTTAACTTGTATGTTCTCAATCAATATAATATTCCCATTAGTCCTTCAAATAAAATACATATTAATTCAATGGGAGTTTTCAGCCATTAAAGGCACACATTAGAAAGGAATTACCATTTTAAAACACTTGATTTTAGTCTGTAACCTAAATGTTAAACAATGTCTATACACCACAACATCTTTATTTAAATAATCACAAACATTTCCACCTAATATCATAATGCATGTATTCTGCGATGGAAATTACTTTTCAAATCTCTGAAATAAAGTAGTTGTAGACCTTTACTTGCTAACTTCATATTGTATTTCACATTTTTTACATTTACTTAATAATTTACACATGATTAAATATGTTCTAAGAATTCCACAACCTAGCAAAATTACAGCTTGACAGTAATTATTTCCAATGTAAAAACAATTCATGTACCCAGATAAGACTAGAAATCTACATACTCGTTCATATATATATATATATATATATATATATATATATATATATATATATATATATATATATATATATATATATATATATATATATATATATATATATATATATATATATATATATATTTTTATATATATAAAGAGAGAGAGAGTGTGTGTGTGTGTGTGTGTGTGTGTGTGTGTGTATGTGTGTGTGTGTGTGTGTGTGTGTGTGTGTGTAAAAAAAAAAAAAAAAAAAGAAGAGAGAGAGTGTGTGTGTATATATATATATATATATATATATATATATATATATATATATATATATATATATATATATATATATATATATATATATATATATATATATATATATATATATATATATATATATATATATATATATATATATATATATATATATATATATATATATATATATATATATATATATATATATATATATATATATATATATATATATATATATATATATATATATATATATATATATATATATATATATATATATATATATATATATATATATATATATATATGAAGAGTTCAGATGCAAAAAGTGTCGTCTTAAATTTCTATAGGAAATGAACGTTTTTCGCAGCCTCCTTTTGTTTATGTCGAGATATTTCACTTTAAAGACCAGGAAAAGGACTTATTCTTTTGCCATAAAAGTGATATTACTGATATACACACAGTAGACTGATAAAAATGCTCATTCTGGAGGAAAATTTCAGATAGCATTTAGAGGTTTTTGTATATATATATATATATATATATATATATATATATATATATATATAT